TGCCAATTCTCTGCTTCAAAAAGAAGAGAGTCCCTTTTTATTATGCACTTACAACCTGCAGTGTCTCCCTCTAGGATTTCAAAAATCTATGTTTTAAATAAAGTCAAGTAAGAGACTAAACAGAGGAAAGGAAAGCAAACATGAGAAATGACTGGTTTTGAATTAACAGATAACAATATTTATTTGCTGACATAACCAAATGTGAGCATGCAAATAGAGTTCAGAGCTTTTATACAGCTTCTGCTGATCAGGGATCTCCACCCAAAAATGTGTAAAATAATTTCACACTGTCAATCCATCTGCAATAGTATGTTTGGCTTGGCAGTTCATTAGTCCTTTTGAGTTCAGATGCTACAATTCTGCATATTTACAGGATTTTTCTTCTTGTATTATTAACAGCAATGGAACACTCAGGTGAGAAAAACAAGGCAGCAGCTAAAGCATTAGCTCTGGAATAATGTAAATATATAATCATTCACAGAGACATCTCACTGCATAGTTTGCTTTGCAGATTGCTTTATTGCATCTCTTCATTTTCTGGTGTCCCCCACCCAATTACTGACAGGAAACATCAGACAGGCAGTCAAACAAAATGTGCCAGCATCAAGGAGGTTTGTGTTGGGAGGAGGAAAATGAGATGAAAACCAAAATACCCCTCCTGACTGGGATTTTAAAGTACATGTATTACGAAACATTAAATTGCAGATGGCAATCTCTGCGGCCTTCCAATAATTAATATCAGATCTTTAACCAGATTTTAGCTCCTCAGAGAATGAGAAGGAGGGTGGCAAACACAGTTTGACAAACATTGACAAACACAGTGCTGTGAACATTTCTCCAGCCCTGAGGCTGAGACCACCAGCTGGCCTTCAACAAAATCCCCTTTTGGCTTGTTGCTCTAGTATGCCAAATAATCAATGGGGGTCTGACAACTGCTCTGCCAAAGGAGGAAGGATGCCCATGGATTCCACGTTTGTGCAGCATTTATTTAACATATGAAGGGATTCAGTGTGGAAGAGGACTCAATTTATAGACTCTACTTACTGTGAATAAACATTTCTAAGTTACTGGTAAACATAGTGGAATGCCCCAAAGCTGAAATTATTATTAGGAAGATTCATTAGAAGAAAAGATAGAAAATGCATGGTCCCAAAATATATTTGCTTTTAAAAAGGAAAATCTCTTTCTGTCTCTAATATAAAGCAGTTCTGGAAGATTCCATACTTGCAAAGGTAAAGTTCTTTATGCTTTATAACACTGTAAATGTTACCAGATCTATGAAATGTCATGGGAATGTAATTTTAGATGGATTTGAAAGATGCAGTGGCATTTCCAAGAGTCCTAACTGTCTTAGCAATAAATCCATAAATGGACTTCAGGGTTAGTTATTGCAGTGTCTATAACTGGTCTGACACTGCCTTAAACTTGAGTTATGCATCCTGATCTCAACAAAGCACAGACAAAAAGTTAAGGGCTCCACAGGTGCTGTCAGTGAGGTCCTGAACAATTTGAGCACATCAGGGATTTTGTGCACTCTGTCTCTCCCTAGGCAAGCATCTAGATTTTCTTATATCAAAAGGGTGGAAGAAAAATCAACAGAAATTATCAAATGGCCAGGAGGTTTGCATTCAGGACATGAAGAGTCCATATATTTAGATCTAGTAGATGAGAAATGCTCCCACACCTGACTTCTCACAAAATTTCCAGCCACGCAGAAGTGCAACTGAACTGCCAAAATGGAAACACAAAGGAGAATTCTAACCCCTAGTCCCAATATTTTATTTTTACCTCTTTCCCCTTCTGAATTTCCTTCTGCATAACAAAATGAGGATTTCCCAGTTCAGACAAAAGAGAACTATAAAATGGCAGGAATCAGCAAGGTAGAACACCTGGTTCCAACTCACTGCTTTCACTGAATTAGAAAAAAAATACTTAAATTTAGAAAGTCTCCCAGGAGGTTTTCTGGGAGCTGCTCTGCTGAAGTGGCCCTGATTTCAGGGTGAGCAGAAAAAAACTTCAGCACGACCCTGCTGTCCACAGGGCTGAGGGGCAGGTGGTGCTTAGGGCTAAATTCACATTAAACAGGGCTCAGAATTATTAGCACAGGCACCAAGATGTGAAAATTCACCATTTTAGAGCTAATGGTTGTTCAGAAACCATGATTGTCAGAGAACTCTCTCAGGGCCATCAGCTCAGCAGTGAGGTGCCTACATTTTGGGAAGCTGCTGCTCCTTTTCTGCTGTCACCAGACAGAACCCCACAATTGAATGCGAGTTTCCCCACCCCAGCCTGAACCACTGGGCCAGGGGCACCACAAATCTCCGAGCTGAACCTTTCCATTTTCCCTCTCTACAGCCCTGAAAGACTTCCCCAGAAAGCCTCGTCCAAGGTATTTGCATTTTCAGGAAATGTTTGGCTTCACCACTCACTGTTTCTTGCCAGTAGCCCACACCTAAAAAAACTCCTAAAATCTCTACGTAAGCAACACATATTAAAAACTTGTTTTTCTAACATATGTAGTCCCATTCAGAACACTAACCACACATTCATAGGGACATGACTGCACACCACACAGGTACAAGCAAAGAAAGGCAGCCTAGGATGTTTTAAAACCACAGACCCAGCTCTGACTGATATTCCAAGGCAAGCCAAGGATCAGGAGCTGTTGGAAAAAGTCCCCATTTCTGTCAGCAAGTTGATGTTTTCTTTATTGCTTCAAATAATGAAAGAAATATTCAACACTATTCATAAACTGAGATTTTCAGAGAGGCCCTGCTGAGGTTTTTTCCAAAGCAAACCCCAGCCAAAAATACCAACATTTGAAAGTAGCTGAATGCCAGATATTGTGCACTGGAGTTTTGCCATTTACTTCAGAGGGTCCAGCAGTAGGCACAAAATCCTCAGAAAACTACTAGCCCCTGCCAATCACTGCTCTTATAAGATGTATTTTTGGTATGAAAAACAAAATACATAACCCCAGTTGTTTTAATACCTCCATTTCAAGTATTAAGACAAACAGACCTTTCAAGAATAAGCACAAAGAGGAAAGCAAATATCACCCAGGCAGCCTACTGTGAAAAATGTGAGCTGACCTGAAAAGAGAAAATGCTCCACGAGCAGGACATCAGTTTAGGCACTGCACCAACAGAGTCTCATCCTGCAGCTCCTTAGTGGTGGTGGCCTTGTTGGCTGACAAGAGACACTGATAATTCCATCACAAAAATTTATTTTTTATGTTCTGAGCCTGCACAAAGCTTTGCAATGTGCCATAAATTGATGGGAACATATTTTCCTGCAAGTTTTTGCCTACTTTCCTTGCACCCAGAGGGACATTGCTTACATGAAGGGAGGATCTTGCTTGAGACTCAACTTCTATGTGGCATCACTCTATATTGCAGGTGATATATCTCTTAATAGGATGCAGTATATCATAGAAGATGGGTTAAACAGAGGTGAAATAAAGACTCTGGAAACTGCAGACAGGTCTCATTGAAGCAGCAGCAAAGTTCCTCTACACCAGAGCAGATCCCATCAAAAAAACACACGTGCCCAAGAAAACCAAGTACACTTTGTTGTCTGCTTCCTTTCCCTTTTTTCTTTTCCCCTTAGAAGAAAGCAAACACAGATGGAGATAAGTTGAAAATGATGGCAAGTCTGCCAGCAAATACCTGGATGCCAGTCCAGCTAGGAAGGACTCTTTGAGCACACAGGAAAGGAACAGTTTCCTTAGCAACCAGGAGAAAGCTCTGAGAACACCTCTTCAGCCCTGTGCTGCCCTGCCCTTCCCCAGCTCAGCCTGATGCCTGCCACTCACAGATTTCATTTAATTTAACATTTTGTGACGTCCAGACAGGATGGTTCCCACCAGTGGAAGAGGCAGTGGAGCCAAAAAGGGTTGGGAGAGGGCTGGCAGGAGGGGAATCCATCCTCACAGTGAGGATGCACACCCTGGGGAGGAGTTCTCAGGTTTTTCAAGGCTGATCCTGTCCTTTCCAAATCCCAGATCCCTCCTCCAGAGAGCCTGGGCTCTGCCCCAGGTTTTGAACCTCCTCTGCTCACCTGCCTTTGCAAAGCAGCTCAGGGGCTCTGCTGCTGTTTCCTCCCCTTTTTCACAGCTGCTACCAGAAGGTACAGGGTAATACCTACAATGGAGAGAAGAAAACAGACCAATTTTATCACTAAAAGCTCCCCAAATTCTTGAATTTTAAAAATAATATTTTTTCTATTTTTTCTCTGGCCCCCCCCTTTTTTTTTTTTTGCCAAATCCAGACTTCTTCATTCTTTTATTACACTTTCTCTGTTTTAACTTGAATGCATGAATTGACTTCCCCACCCATTTTTAAAACCTTCAGCTAGTATGTGCAACTATTTCACTTTCTCCACTGAGAAATCTAGTGAAAAGCCTCCTTAGTAAAAGTTATTTCTCTTTATCAGATGACATTTTGATGTGAGGCTGTACAACAGGCAGCATATAGACCAGCAATAGTGCTAATACATGCTAAACCTGGAATTCCACAGCAGTTTGATCCCTTTTATCAGGGGACATAAAGGAACTGAAACTGCTGGCACACAGCCAGCATGGAATTCCTCTTCTCTTCCTGCGAAGAAGAACATAAAATTGGTTACATCTTTCCCAAGAAATCTTACAAGGGAGGCACTCTGTGTAAGGAAGACATAATTTTAGGGATACAAAGACTAAAAATACGTGAGACTCCCTGCTTTCCAGACCTCTTAGAAATTACCAGACTCTGCCAGTAATGCCAGAAATAACCTGTGAAAATGAGATGTGACTGACCTTGCTTTCACACCTGACATGTGGAAGTCTTAGACAGAGAAACAACCTCCATTTCAATACCTAAACTTCTAAAAGTGAAGCATCCCACACAATGTGGTAGCATGCTGCAAGTCTATGGAAAGCTGCACTGAATTTCATACATTTTAAGAAAAAAAAAGCCACAAGAAAACAGTGAAACTTATTGGTTTTAATCACACAGCAGTTTTTGCTGAAATATCCTAATGCTTCTGAGAGACGTCTGAGTGAGACATGAATATAAAGAGACAAGATAGGAATCCCTCTTGACTTCAAACCATCTGTGATAGATTTCTGGAAGTTGGTGAGGTGATTATATCCCTGATGCTTTAATCACAGCGGTATTCCATCACACACATTCCCGAGGCATCCACTTGGAAAGACTGATCTCATCTGTCCCTAATTGATCAATCTGCGCAGCCCCTCAGAAATACTCACACCGTGTCAGCTGGGTTTTCAGAACTTAAATGACTGGAGAGTTTCCAAATCCATGTTGCAAACTGAATTTCCTCATTTGCTGAAGTGTTCTGCAGCTCTCGGGCTGAGAATGCATCCCTCCACTGTTGTGAGCCAATCAAACATAACATCGGGCAAGAATTATTTATAAAAGTTCATTTTTTGCAGAAATTCATCTCGTGCAGGCTTGGATTGATAGTATCAAAATGAATGTTTGCTTCTGAAGGTTCAATTTTTCCATGTGTGCTTGTGAGGCTACATATGTTTTTTCCATGAAAAAATCTGATTTTTTAGGTGAGGAAACTCCTCTGATTTTTCCAAACCAGACACAGCCTTATGAGTCAGTTCAAATAGCAGGGAAAGGGAAACAGCCTTTACTGTGCCCTTTCCTCTTCCTTCTCTCAGCTTCTTTCATCCCTCCTTCCTCTTTCTCAGACACAGAGCAGTGGCAGTGCTGAGAAAGTGAAAAGCGCAGATAAGGAGCACAGCTGAGCTTGTGAAGGAAGTGAAATTAACATTGATTGAGGCAAATCAATCAATCAAAGGCAGAAAGGAGATGAACTGCCTGCGAGGAAGCGACAGTGGAATGGGAAATGTGCTGAAGCAGGGAGGGGAGAGCACAGGAAGAGGGAAGATGAATTTACAGAGCAACAGCTTTCCGGGTCCCACAGTAGTTAATGGGAATTTTGATTTTGAGAGTCAGGATATTACCCATGTCATTTAAATACCAACTGGCAGATGTTTAATCTGCAGATGGGAAGAAAATTAGATGAAAGATGAGAAAATAATGTCCCTGTAGCTGTGTAACAATGCAGAGCTGTTCTTCACTCATAGGCATTCAGAAGCCAGCGCTGCTATTTTGAGTTTACTGTTTTGGTTGCATTTGGGCTGTTCCAAAAGCAGTGACCTGGTTATCAACCACACATTTGAACAGAGGGAAGGTGCATTCACTTCAGGTGGCCTACAATCCTCAGAATATTCTAAGAGAATGAAAATGACAAGAACCCTTTTTACCCCAAAAGAAATATAACTGCTAAAATAAATACATTTCCAGGACTACAGGTACCACCACAGGTACCAGAAAACTTAATAAAACATAAATACATACATGATAGTGTATGACACTGACAAAAGTTGAAATAAAACCCAGCAAATAGAAGGCTGAGGGGAAATATGTCCATGTCACAGCCTTCTGAAAACCCATGGATTACTTTCCACTAAAGTTTTACCAGTATTGCAATATTTATAAAAACTCCTTGAACAGTGTTCCACAAATATTGTGAAAAATTCATGTGTTATTGCCTATCACTAATTCATAGCCCCTTCTTCTCTTTCTCATTTTGGATGAATTTTTAAGGCTTTTCTTTGAACGAAACAAAACAAAACAAAATTTTAAAAAGACAACAAGAACTATAAACCTCAGATTGACTGAAGGACCTCATCACAAGATATAATACTGTCCTCCACTTACACACTTGTCATCACTTTATCTCCCTGATTAAGATTCCTGCTCTTCCTCAAACCAAGTAAAATTATGAATGTGTAGTAAAGGTAACATGCTAATAACTCAGAAATCTTCTCACAATCCCATGCCTGGCTTGATCCAAAATATTATTTTGTTGCTTTACTGAATTAGCAGATAACCTCCTCAGGCAACCAAAGAAGACAAAAATCTGTGTGGAACACTCTTACAAAATGTCAACCACCGTCATTGTGTTGGCAAATGCATCCCAGAGGCACAGAGGACCCTAAAAGAGTCATTACAGAGTAAACAAGGTATTAATGAATAATGGAAAGCCTGAACAAAAACAGAATGTGGGCAATTACAGCCCAGATGCGGCACAGGGGAGAACAAAGCAAACACAGAAAAACAGCCCGAATTTACCGGAGCTCTTCCCAGCAAAGAGCAATATCTCCTCTGTTGAAAAGCAAGGGCCCTCAGCAAGGGGGGAAAAAAAAAAAGAATTGAGGAACTCCATGGCTGAAATTGTCAGCTGAACCCAAGTGTTGAGGACAGCACTGCTTCAGAGCCAAGGTTTTCTGGGCATGATGAACAGTCCTGGGGACACATCCTCACATCAGTGGCAGGAGCTGTCTTCAAAATTCTGTTTAGTGAGAGCGTTCCTTGGATTAAGCTTTAATGAGACCTCTAAAAGGCCTGCACTGTTCTTTCCACAGGTACAGCCAAGTGCCAAGAGGACCTGGAGAACAAAAAAAAAACAGATCTCAGAAGTTACAGAGCCTCAGTTCAGTTCAGTTGAGATAAGCAACAACAAAATCTTTTTTTTTTCTTTTCTCATTTCCACACCACTTATGCTCAACACTTCCTCAAGAGGTTTCCAGAGCTTCCTGCTCCAAGGCAGAATGGAGCACTACCCAAATACCCTCCTTTGTGAGTAATCAATATCACTGCTTTGAGCCTTTGCAAGAGCACCACACTCCAGGTTAAACAAACATTTTAAAAAACATGAGGAAAAATAAATTTAAAGTACAAAGCTTGAAGAATAACACTGGTTTCCCATTTCTACATGACTCCAGTCATACTTGTTAAAATAGAGAGAGTGCTTGCCTAGTTTAGCAGCAAAGTATTGATTAAAGATGCGAAGAACATAAAAAATAAAACTACCTGGAAAAACTTCTCTTTACCCTAAATCTAACATGCACAGATCAAAAGGGTGTCTACTAAATTCCATCCCCCTTTATAGCATGCAGAGTTATCTCATGCCCTTTATCTCAGCCATTTTCATTTTCATCTGATGTTCTCAAGTCTCACTAATAATTTGCATATGCCATATTTAATTAATTTAATTAGACTTGTAATCATAATAGCCAATAAAGTATAATTACAAATTATCCCCTTAAACAGAGTCCTCCAATCCATTTTGCCTCCTTGTACAATAAACTAAGCACTACAGAAATTAAAGGGATTTTTTTCTTGTACATTCTCTGCACTTTGTGATGGGACCATCAGCATCCTGCAGTCACCCCACTTCTCCCAGGTTCCCCCAGAACATTCCCCAATGTCCTGTCAAGATCTCAAGTGGCTTTGACTGGATTCTTCTCACACTTTTAAAACACCCAGTCTAGAGTGCAGGTATCCCTTTAATTTCTGAATAACCATTCACAAGAAGCAATTAAATATTCAAAGATATACAGGTAAAATGTTTGAATGTTTAAGATGTAATAATTTGTAATTAATTTATCCAGTATTTTTAGCAATTGTGCCACTGACTTCCTTCAACTCCATTCAGAATTGGCATTTCTACTTGAAACCACAGATTTTTATATCAAGTAACTTGACATACATAACCAGTAACAGAGGAATTACACAGCCCATGTGAACTTGTTTGGGTTAAGTACCAATAAAAGTGCTTTAGGCAGCAAGGAAACCTTGAAGTTGGAGATTACTGAGCCTGAGATTACTCGAGAGGACACACTGTTAAAGCAGGACCCAAAGAGCACTTTTCTTTGATCAGGTAAAATAGGCAGTGAAGGGAACCTTGGAAAACAACTTGGTTTCCTTTTCAGTATAGAATGAGGCCCTGATAGCTGCTGACATCAAGGAGATTAGCTCATTCATAGTGGCACTGTACACAGGGAAAAAAATGCACTTTTCTTGAGAGCCTGTAGCAGCATAAAGTACATGAAGGATGATAATTATGTATACATTTAGGGTAAGATCACCCTTTTAGAAAAGCATTAAAGAACTGGATTTCTTGGTAAGACTGCAAGCTGCTCCTTTAATGGCTTGGATTTCTTTGTGCTCATCTTTTTCTTTTTTTTTTTTCAGTACAAGCTGATTAAATGGAAAATCAAGTATAACTCACCACGAGCTGCTTCTAAATCCCTGTTCAGCTCCCATCAAATGGCAGGGCAAGCTTTGCCTCCTTGTAGATTTTTGAAATGCTATCACTAGTCTTTGATATGCCAATTTTTGTTGGAAAATTATTCCTGTTACCCACAGTAACCACATTACCTTAGATCTGAAAGGTAGAGGCCATGAATAATTGTTATATGAAAAACATGCACTTCATGGAAAAGACTTTGTGGAGTCTTCTTATTTTATTCACTAACAGAGTTCCAAACAACAGAATATGACTCAGATGATAAGGCTCTCAGGCTAAATGTGCCATATTATTCTTAATTTTACAGGCTATAAATATACCTAATTTGACAGAAGAAGGTTGCTCTGATCTGCAGGATCAAAAACCCATTGTTTCACCATTTAGATTTCTGCTGCTGGCTCAGCACATAGAAACATATTTACTTTTACCCCAGACAGTGAATTTCCTGATTTGGTATAGGTAAAACCCTGAAACATCAGTCTGGGTTTCTTCTTTTCAGCTCACATTTTAGTTTTCTGTACTTTACAGCACCATGAGATGTCAATTGATTTATTTTTTTCATCCAGCAGTTGTGAAATATTCAAGATAACATCTTGGAAACAAAACAAAAGGAAAACAGCATTATTACCACAAAAATCTGAAATAAATATTAAGGTACAACTCACCTTTGGGGGAATTCTGCATTAGTTCTGTGCTCCTCATAACAGCTTTAGGTATTACAAAGCCAAAATGTGAGGAAAGATTGAAGATACAGCAGAGCCATTCATCTTGGGGATTCTTTTAAATACTTTGAGTCAGGAATAAACTACTAATAAAGTAAAGAAAAAAATTTGTCTGGGAGGCAAAATCACTGCCCCAGCAAAGGAAGCAGTGGAGAATGCGTGATGTAATTTAAGAAACTAAAAATATATTCTCCATTTAAATGGCAGCCCCAGCCAGGGATCCAATTAATGAACTACATCAAGAGACTGCATTTAAAGGACAGGGCAGACTAATTCCACTCCTCAGCCTTACACATTAGGATTAGCAACCATCACTTCTTTATTCTTAGGCTGCATCCTGAATTCATGTGTTTGCTGTGAAAACTTCACTGAAAATCCTCTTGATCCCAGCAGGGTCAGTCACCAGCAAAAGCTCTCTGGCTGTAAAGTGTAAAAATCACTGACCAGGCAGGGACAGAAACACATCTGTGATCTTTGCCAAGTTATTCCATAGACAGGGATGGGCTCCACATTAATGTGTGAAGAGCCACATTGCAGGTTTGGCACAGGCTCTGCTCAGAGGCAGGAGGCAATCAGTGCATTCTGCAACCATCAGCAGATGGATGATGGATGGATGGATGGATGGATAATGGATGGATGGATGGATGGATAATGGATGGATGGATGGATGGATGGATGGATGGATGGATGGATGGATGGATGGATGGCCTTGATGCCTGCATGTGCTGCTTGCTGAATGTACCAGCCTGAAAAGGTGAACTTTTCTTTGATTTTTTTTTAATACTTTTCATAGAAGTGCAGGATCACAGAACGTTTCAAGTTGAAAGGAACCCACAAGGATCACAGAGACCAACCTCTGGCCCTGCAAAAGACATCCCAAAAAATCTCACCTGGTGCCTGAGAGCATTGTTCAATCACTTCTTCTATTACACTTATACTAGGCTCATTTCGTCTTTATTGAAAATAAGAAAAACATTTTAAAAAATTATCAGCCCTTCAAATTGTCATTTCTCAATGTAACTTCTCACCCATGGGGTTATTGTCAGAAAGTCAACAATGATGACCAACTATCCAATCTCAGAATAGTATTTAGCACACCGTTCAGAAAGTATGCTAATAAGAGGATAAGCAACTTAAATGTCATCAGGAAGGAAAATAAAATTACCTATAAGATAAATACATTACTCTCTCTGTGAGCATCTTAGTAAATATTTCTTCACCATATAAAAAATAAAGAAGATGTTTTATATTTTGGCACAGTGCTACCTTGAATATAAGTTGCAAGGACAATCTTTCTACTTCCATGCTGAGATTTCAGCAGATAATACACAACCTCTTTAGCGAAGTGAATATATTAATAAGAAAAATATCTCCCTTATGTTTGCTATCTGTGAAAATATTACTTTTGGCTAATGTTCCAGGAGAATTGTTTGTGAAAATGTTTGTCAAAATTGTTTGTCAAAATAGGTAATTTGTTAACAGCAAGGTAACATGAATTTGGATTCATGATAGTGCAAATGCTGGGTCTGGAAATAAAAAAAAAAAAAAATTTAAAAAGGGAGTTTTGCCAACGAAGTGTTTAAATAACAACTTTACCATCTAATACAAAGAATTGTAGTATTTAGAGGGTTCTAATATGAGCAGATTCAGCTGGAAACTTACAGGTTTGGAGTGTTTAGCCTTGCAGCATGGTGGAGGGTGATGTCAATGCAAACATCTCAGCTCCTCCATCTCTGAAATGCATCTGTTGTGTGACCATCCAGACAGTTCCTCTTGCAATTCCCACCTGGTGGATTTAATCTGGGACAAAGCACATCAGAGGAAAGGGAGTGGGGGTAAGACATGCTCAGGTGAAGACTCAAATAGTTTTGGTCACCATCACATTTTCTGACCCAAAGAAAGATGAAGACCATGCACTGCTCATGTCTTTTGTTTACATGAGCCATGCAATGAAATTTTCAAATGAAATTATTTGAATTTTATGCAGTGTAGGGACATTAATGTGAAACACAAGCAAAACTTTCACTGTTTTTCAGGTTCAGCTTTTCATGGATAGAAAAAAAACCAACACCACGGAGATGTGAATTGTAAAGGTTGTGTTAGAAAAATAAATACAGCTGGGGGACTGTGCCATCGTTTACCCATTACTGTTTCTTGTGCTAGGTTATGTTTTATATACAATCCAAAATTAAAGCATTCATGTCATTCTTTTAATAAATTTCAGATGCGTCCCAAAATAGTTCATTTGCAATGTAAATGAAGACACCAACAGCTCTGGTGTCTTCACAGGCAGAGATGGAAGGCCAAAGAGCAGTCACAGGGTTTCCCATTTTCACCTAGTTGTTGATGCTACACTGCACAAATTCCATGGCCTTTAGCTGATTTTCCCAGGTCTTCCTACTTCACAATCCTAGCTCAAACAATTGTTCTTCCTGGGCAGTTTTCTGAGAAACTTGATACGTTTTTCTTAAACATCAAAGTTTTGCCATTAGTTTTTAACAGATAAATTGGTGTTAACAATAGATGAGAATATTTAAAAATAAGTTATAACTTACACTAAGAGAATTTGGTTGAATAAATCAATTGCAGTGGGAAACACTGGTCTAGGGGAAAAAATTACAATCTTATAATTCAACCATAAATGTGTAGAAAAGAGGGGAAAATAGACCTAATGCCTTTTTCACATTAGACTGACCATGAAGAAGTAACATGCAAAAATTCATACAGAGAATGTTTTTTCTTTATTAATTGTGGGGTTTTTGTTGTTGTTGATTCCAAAAACAGTCATAAATATATATCAAGTGCAATTAGCAAATCTGGGAAAATCATATAGAAGGTTAGAAACACACCCTCCAGAAATTTGACAGATTTGGGCAATGCCCATCAGTTAACTTCTTTTCTGCAGCCACTTTTTATATTCTACTTATCATCCCTCTGTACCAAGAGGAATCAGTAGTACCATAAATTCAGTTCCTTCTTGCCCCTCAGTCTTCATATTCTAGTTGCTTGAGGACTTTTTTTAAAGTAAGCTTCATATCACGGAAAAAAAATTATAAAAGTGCAAGGAAAAAAAATGTGTCAGGTTAAAGAAAAAAAATTTTTAAACCCTCAAGAGCTTTAAAGTTCTGCATATAACCTTAGCATGACACTGCTGTCCTTGCCTGCCAAAGAAGAGAACTGCTCTTGGATTACACGTTAATGCAGTGTGTGGTGGAGAAAGAAATTGCTTGCTGTACAGCTGCTCTTGTTAACATCTAGCTCATCAGCAGGAAATGCCTCGTCCATTAAATACCTCTTTAGCTCTCTTTTGTCCAATTCCAGGAGCAGGAGCATCACTGACAGCCAGGTAATTCTGTTTTAAACGAGTGACATCCCGAGGCAGCCTGACCCTGCCCAGCTGGTGAAGGAGAGGAGGTTGGGTGGCTGGAGAGACAGGGAAGAGGAAGGAAAGCCACAGAGCTGTCACTGATAATCTCTGAGAATTGAAAGTGTTAAGTAAGCAAACCAATGCTACGTCCTAAGCACTGAGTGAGCTGCTAACAAATGCTAATAACACCAAGCATATTTTTATATATAAAACCAGCAGCAACAGATTTTTCACTGCTCCCCCATGGACACAGCTGCCACGACTTTGAAAGGATGCACTGCTCCAAATTTCTTCACACTCAACATCCATCCACGTAAACATCCAGAGCTGAGGGAACAAGTAAAGGACTTAAAAGTTGAGAAGAACTCAGACTGCATCAATGAACTTTTCAGACAATGGGGGTTGACAGGATAGGTTTCATCATTTGTTAGAGGAGTTTTTCGTGTTGTAATCATTGTTTTTACTCATGTTTCCCTGTTAGGTGTCTGCAGAGGTCCACTGGTCTTCTATTTTCAGGGTGCCCTGATGTTGGAAGGAAAATGATGACTCTGACTCCATGTTCTTAGAACGCCAATTTACACTTTTATGATCTATATTGTATTAAAGAATACTATACTAAAACTATACTAAACTATACTAAATAAGACAGAAAGGATACAGACAGAAGGCTAAAAGATGCTAATGAAAAACTCATTACTCTTTCCAGAGCCTCAGCACAGCTGGCTGTAATTGGCCAGTAACTAAAAACAATTCACATGCAACCAATGAAAAAATCACCTACCACAGTCCAAAGCAGCAAAACACAGGAGAACCAAATGAGATCATGTTTTCCTTTTTCTCTGAGGCTTCTCAGCTTCCCAGGAGAGAAATCCTGGTGAAGAGATTTTTCCAGAAAACATGATGGTGACATACTGGGGAAGTCTTCAATGCAAGAAAAAAACAGGGAAGTTATGGACTCCTCTGATACCATAGATTTTTCCCCACCTTCAAGGGTGCTGTTTTTCTCCACTAAAGAGATTCTGGTCAGCTACCTCAGATGCAGAAACGCAGATAATAAATGTACAGGGAAGCATGACAGATTAATTATCTGTGCAGATACTTTCGCTCTATTTAACAAAAGTGCTCATGGCACTTTAATCGATGCACATTTAAAAAGACAAGACATCATCTGGAGACTTTTCTTACCCACTAAGGCACAAATGATAGGATTTACTCCTGTGATTAGTAAGAGCATCAAGTGTATTTAGCTCTTAAGTCACACTCACAAATAGACTGGGGCAGGGAGCAAACCCTCTACTAATAGCACAAAAGTCTTGGTGGACTCTCCTGTCTGTGTGACTTACCCTGAAGAGGATGAAGAGTTTTGCAGTTTATTCAACAGCCCTTAGCCTTGAACAGTGCACACCTGCAAAACAACAGAGCACCTGTGGAGCTGCTTTAGGATTGTATCTCTGTAGGGCAGTGGGAGTGTGGACCTGACTGTTTTCCATTGCCATCACACATGCACACATTGCTGGACATTTGCAAAACAAGCACGTAAAAGATGCCTCTTGACTTTTCTAAACACACAAGCTCTAAGACTTCAAATCCAATTTGTGATTATTCCAGTCTCAGGGAACCCAATTTGAACTACTCAAATAGTGAAAAAGATTTCTTGAGAACAATTCTAGGCCCAATAAAGAAACCAATCCCCATTTACACTAAGTACTTACTATGCACTTTGGATTTTTTCCAAAGCTAGTTAAATACCTTAATTGTTCACTAATTATTTGCAAGAAGAAAAGTAAAATGCCTGAGAGAAATTATTCGTAATAAACAACTCAGTCTGAGGTTTTAAAGTGCTGCAGTGCAAGTTCCTTGTACAACACCTGAAGTGTTACAGTAATAAGTAATATGTTGGTACTTGCTAATTACCCTGCTCTCCTCCATTCAAAAGGACATAATTTCTAGGGTGTGATGTATTTCATTTTAAGCAATTAGGAATTTAGGAATCTAGGAATAGGTCAAAAACAATTTAGGAAAAGATCAGATGCCTTTTTCAGAGACATCCTCAGATGTCTAACCATCCTCACTGTAGCCTCCTAATGCCCAGGAGATGCACAGCCCATAAAGGATTTTCTGGTTTGGTTGGCTGGTTGGTTTAGTTTTGGGATTTTGGAGGGTTTTGGTGGTTTTTTGTTTTGGTTTTTGTTTTTGTTTTTTTTGGGGGGGGCGTTTGGGTGGGTTTTTTAAATTTGTTTTTTGGGGTTTGGGGTTTTTCTGGTTGTTGTTGCCATTGTTGGTGTTTTTGTTGTCATCTCTTTTTTTCATTTTTCCTGGACATTCTCTACTAGTCCAATAGAAAAAAATCTAACTACAAGCCATACATGTGTATTTATATCAGCCATAGCCAAATGTCACCCATTCAAATAATTTTCATGGAAAAATCCTGTGTCCTTCTCTAAACTTCCTAGGAAGACCAGGGCTGTAGAATATTTTCTGTAGTTAAAGCTGCAGTATCTGGAGAACTGTCTTCCAATAGGCCAGAACAGACGGTAATATAATAATATTAATAACATTATAATATTCCCCCCCCCAGTGGACAGGGGGGAAAAAGGCAAAACCAAGAATTAATTTGGAACAGTCCACCTAAAAAACCCCAAAAGTTCTATAATAGTTAAATATGTGACTAGAACTTGCCCATATAAATCACACAACAATATTAATGCTGTGCTTTTGCAATTTATGTATCAAAAGTCTTGCAGAGCACTTCTTCCTTTAGATTGTGATGGGGAGGGGAAGAAGAAAAGCACAACAGGTGCATTTTTGTATTTAGTCTCTGTAAGAAATAAAAACAACTTTCTATGTATTTTTCTGCCTTCTCCTCTGCTTAAATTCACCTTCAGTATGATAAAACTTCATTGTGAAATGCAACAATATTATACAGCCAAAAAGTAAACATATAGTAATGGAAGTTTTCTGCTTTTATAAATCACCCAACATAGGTCATTTGCCTGATGAAGATTTGCTAATCAAATACAACTTTATGCATTTAGAGAGGACAAGATATATTTAAATAATCCACTTTCTTTAACTATATTTAGTTTGCTATCATTTAAAACTTTTGAAGTCTTCTCATTTTTACCAAGACAGGCATGTACTATTTCTTTTCCTTAATATTTTTTGTCACTTCTTCCCTTTTTCCCTGTAACCCTAAATCTTTCAGCACCCAAATGAATCCATAAAAAAAAAAAAAAAGCAATTCGAGTTGACTCTTTCCATCCTGAATTATCCACTTTTGCCTCCTCCAGATTCCAATTTATGTTCCAAGATGTGGCTGGAATGAGAGTAAGAACTTTTTTTTAAATTTAGTGGTTGTGTATTCTGTTCTGAGCACTATTTCTAGGACAGATGCATGCATCAAAAATTCACAACAACAAGAATATAAAATTGCCTTGGGATGACTATTTCTGGGGCACATTCAAGCGTTAAATTTGTCCATTACAATAAGAAAATGAAATTGCCTTGGAACCAGCATTTAATTATTTTTTAAATTGCCCTGTTGAGGTGATGTGCAATAATCCCCTTTTGTCTTCTACAAAATGAACTGTATTACTTAAATAATTTTTCATTTTCATTTATATTTCACTCTTGGTAATACCAAAACAGTGTTGACTTTTTTAGGCTAGGGTTTGGTTTTTTCCTTAAAGGAATACTTTAAAGCCCTTGAAAATCAACAGAAATCTTTCCATTGACTTCAGAGCACTTCAGGTCAGCTCAAACATTCTAAGTCTTCCTTGAAAGGCTCTTGAGAATTCTAGGGGAAAAAAAAGTCCAACATAATGATTAGAGAGTTCTTGGACTATTTTTTTTTTAAATCCACAAGTAAAAAGTCCCTCTCTACACAGTTGTGTGCAAATTAAGATATTCCCAAAGCAATTTCAGCAATTTCAGAAAAGTTTTAGAGCTACAGAAAGTGTAGGAACACCCACCAAACAGCAAGGCTCTATCAAAAGAGTTAGAAAATTAAAAGCCATGTGCAGACTGTCTGTTGTAGATTACAGGCAGCCTGAGAAACTACAATAACAAAACCAAAACACGAAAACAAACAAACAAAAAAACCCAACAACAAAACAAAGACCCAAACATTAAAAAGAAATATATAAAAAAACAACACCATCAGAATCTAAAGAAGGAAGAAAGACATGCAGTATAATAAGCTTTTATTGCTTTAAGTTGTTTGGGAAAAAAATGACCAGAAGAGTTAGAAATAGAGAAATAGAGAAAGTGCTTCAAAACTTTTACTAGATAACAATACAAGGAAAACAGAATCTATTAGACCTTACTCTTGCAACTAGAACTGAAAATTTTAAAAAAATATGCATGAGACCTCTAAATTCACAGACTCAGACTTCATATTTTCTCTCACTTGGTGGTGAATATTCATTTCCAGTGATTCATATGATTTTAAATCATGTGTAAAAGCTTAACCATAGGATAAGATGCAGAGGTCTGTATGATAATATAAATATGATTTTGAAAACAGTAAATCAAGGAAGAACTTGTAATTTCCCAATAATAAAAGAACTGGTTCCAGCTTTTTGCTTCTGGACCAGATTTTCTAAGTGATTCTAACACTACTTCAACTGCAGTTTCGGGGGATTGGTTTGTTGGCAATGCCAATTTTAGCTATATGTGGTGTTACTGAGCCAAATACATACATACTTTTAATAATCCAACCACTGACAAACTTTAATAGTTCTAAAATTTGAGTGTTTTTAAAAAATATGTCTGATAAATGTATTTGATGAAGTGTAGAAGGCATAAGGTAAATTTGAGGAATTAGTAGGAATCTTTTGCTTTAAACGACTGTAACTGAATCTGTATAGTGACTCCAGACCTGGAAATTCAGAATCTTCAAAACATGAAGTGCCTCTGGGTGTTCTTTGCAGCTTTTGTACTTTCAGCACTCCACTTTTGACTATTTAAACTTCAAACTCCCTTTTTAACTTTGTCACTCACAGTCTGTCCAGGCTGCTAAACCTGCTCTGAAAAAACGCCAGACATATTCAGTCTTTAAAAATACTGCCAAGCAAGTGCTGCCCTGAATTTTTCAGCTCAAAAAAAAAAAAAAAAAAAAAAAAAAAAAAAGAAAAAAAAAAAAAGCAAAGAGCAGCTTAATATTGGGCCAAATGTTACATTCTCCCCTTTGTACAAAAACTGAGTCCTAAAACTGATGGCAGCACCACGGTTAGAAACACAACCCTGCCTCTGGCAGAAAATAACATTTCTATTATTAGTATTTCTCAATTCTCCTGCTACACAGGCACAGGGAAAGGCAATGGCTTTGTTGCCTGTCAATCTCTCCTCTCACTTGCACTGCCAGAAATATTCCTTCAGAGTCGATGAGCTTTGCAAGGAGAGCAGGAGCTCAGCTCTTGTTGTTCCCAAACAATGCATGAACTGAGGAGTCAGACTTGCTGTGACCCACTGTGTCCTCTCTTTGATGAGTCATACAGGATTCTGGCTGAAAAGAAGAGGGAATAATTATCTTCTTTCCATCAGCAAGTGTCTATTTCTCACTGCCAGGAACATTGCTAGAACAAGAACTGTAATGTAATTACAAGTTCTTTCTGAGTACTTCAACTTCTGCAACTGAGCAGAATAAATTATTGTCAAAAACGTCAGAACTGATCTCTCCACCTCTGTAGGGGTGTTCTCAAAAGCAGAAAAAGAAACTGAAAGAGCTGATAATTCACTGGAAATAGTCCCAAAGCCTACTGTGAAAGTAGTGTTAGCCCCAGGAGAGGTCCATAAGGAAGCAAGCAGCATTTCTGCTGAGACTGGGATAGGATGGAAAGAAAAAGAGGGACCCCAGGTGCCACCCAGAGCTGACTCACCTAAAGTGGAACCTTGGAAATCTCCCCTGAGCCACTGCTTAAGCACAACGGTTAAACATTAACTCAGGGAGTACATCAAAATTCACCTTAGACCTGAACATTCCCAGCAGTTGTGTTTCTGCCAATTCCCAGTGCTTTCATCTTGACAGTGCTGAGCTCTGCAGGCCTCTGATTCTTACTGGGATTCAGAAATAACATCACCTGCTCTATAAAACTCCTGAGGAGTTCAATCCCACGGCTGTTCTGAGTCCAAGTTAATTCCAGTAAGTGTTCTGAGACTAAATTTAACACTTACACCAAGACTGGGGGATTCATAGAGCAGCATCAGCCACCTCCTTCCCCTTTGAACAACCATGGAGCTGCATCAGAGCTGGGAAGAAATGGAGAGGAGATTGTCAGATCTTCACAGACTTCAGAGCTTCTGCTTAGTGCACTGAGAAATACCTGCTATTTATAAATACTATGGCTTGGCATCTACAGTTTTTGTTTTGAGGAAAAAAAAATCAATTTCACATGCATGACATCAAAAGTGTGTATCTAAACTCAGAAAGTGGTTAAAGTATCAAGATTGAATTAATTTCAATAAAAGCAATAAAACTGATGCTGTTGAGTAGTTTCCAACTGTGATTGTCAGCAATGCAAGAACTTGCCAAGATTTCCTGATTTGCTCTTTATTGAAACACAATTGATATTAATTTAATGAATGAAGAAATACTGGCTACAGTCAACTAACATTATTTAGGAACAGAAAAATACAGACAGCATGTCACCACTGCATGGCAGCCTTTGTGTACGCCTTCCTTCCTTTTACCTTGAAGACCTCTGAATGGGACAAATATGAAGGCAAGAGCCAGCCAACCAGAACGTGGACACCTTGAAGTACTGACCTGACAAATTAATTTCAGTTATTCCATCTGATGGAAAATTTCCTTTATTTCTATTTGCTACATCTCCCTAAGCATGTATATAATGAATTCTGGAAAATGTACATTTTCACAAATTGTTTTCCTACAGCAACAGGTATGGATTTTTTTTATTACCTTTTTTTACTAGGAGCAGCTACATGAAATCATGAGAACAGAGGCTATGTCAAAAAAAATTCGAGTCAGGAGAGGCAAGATTTGGCCTTCCCATTACATATTCTGAGTAAAAGTCATAAACATACCAGACACATTCTGCATTACTAAAAGTACCCTCGTGATTGTGAGTGTGGTTCATGATTCAGCTTCAAAAAACGTTACTTTTCAGAGGAAGGAAGTGTCAGATCTATTGGGTTTTTTTGTTTATTTTGGGGGTGGTTTTTTTGTTGGTTTGGTGGTGGTGGTTTTTGTGTGGGTGTTTTTTGGGTTTTGGTTTTTTTTGTTTTGTTTTGTTTTGTTTTTTGGGGTTTTTGGTTTGGTTTGGTTTTTTGTTGGGTTTTTTTTGTTGTTGTTGGGGTTTTTTGGTCAGTTTTCAGTGTTCCCAGGAGAGGCCATACATATTAATAAGGAGACTCAAGACCAATATCCTTCTATAAAGCATCAACAGGACACATTGCCACCCCATAACTTATGGCCCAGAAGTACCACCTGTCCCTACAGAAGTGAGATTACAACTAAAAAAAGCAAAACTTTTCAGATTCTTCCACAACTGGTAGCAGTGGCTACGCTGGAAGAAGAGATGAAGCACCCTCAGGTCACACTCATGTTCCATTCTACAGTAATTTGGCTTGGAAAATATTCACATAAAAGGTTCTCACCCTTCCCTTCACCCTCTGAAGCTCATCACAGAGCTAGGGCATGAGGCAACAAGGAACTTGGTGCATTCAAAAGGAGAACAATGGTTTTATCTTCTTCTGAACTTGCTCAAGTTGTTAAAGAAGGGATGATGCAGCTCACTCTAGTAAGGGATTACTCACAAGCCCAACCAGTTTCCAGGTTTTTTGCATTCTTCTGTGCTTGCTCCTGATAGAACAAATTATACATCAGATATCTGTGTTCTGTAGAATTTAATTAAAAACACTGACAGGAAAAACAGACATGAGAAGGAATGTTTCATTATTTAACAGCATTCAAATAACCAAGTTGCTCAGACTCAATAGCAGTCAGACTATATTACAGCTGGTGCTTGGAGAGGTTTTAGCTTCCTTTGATTCCTTATTCCATATAAATTGAAAGACACGATAGGCATGTTTTAGCTCATATTTTCAATTCTTTTTGAGCAGATAATATGGCTAAATCTCAGCAGCCAGCTTGAAAGAAAAGGAAATAGTGTCTCTGTGAAGTTAATTTGCTAGAAAGCAAAGGGCACTGTCCTGTAGTTACCCATGACCCTTGTCTGTCACTGTCTTCCCAGGAAGCTGGAATAGATCGTGTGGATGATGGATAACAACTGCAATACTGAGTCCACAGTGTGCACAACTGCTTAATTTTCAGTGAAATTATGGGCTAAATACTTCAATCTCTAGCTGGGAAACCACAAACATTGTCTTCATGGAGAGCACTACCAATATTCATAAAGATAAATGCCTGGATTTTTATTTGGCTGAACCTGTTCCACACAGACACATAGGAACCAACCATTACCAGGGACCAAACCCAGAAAAGACAGGAGTGAAAGATCACAGAATTCCATGAAAACTCGATCATCAAGATGGGATAATTGTCTGTTCAGTCGCTGGAAAGGGGTGCTGCAGCTGCTAGTTGAGATGGTAATTTCTGTCTTGTTTTTCAGATCTCCAGATGTCTAAAGAAAATTAGACCATTAAACTGTTTTCTGCCTACAAAACAGCCATCTGAAAGAAACTTTCAAGCTCTTACAACTTGAACCAGGCATAAACTCAGAATCTGAAAGGAAAGGTCCTTCTCTTGGACCAGACACACACCTGGAATGGTGGGATAAAAGTTGGTGTATGCAAAAGTAGTAGTTACCTCACTGCAGCTACTCTGCTAATTCCTCTCCTATTTACACAGTGTGCAATTATGTATTTGCATTATTTAGCCACCTACAGATGTGCAAATATAAAGTGAATTATGCCTTCTTCTCAAAATGAAAATTATAATGATATATCAAAAATGAAAGTGGAAACCGTGTATCACCTTCATCCTTTTTTCATTTATTCCATGCCATTACTCATTTTTCCACATGCATTATTCTGTCCAATCCTGTGTAAGAAAATACAATAGATATAGAGAGTCACAAATACCTTAATGACAACTATTTTATTTACAAAGACATGAGCAGGATTGCTATCCATATGGATTTACACAAAGCTCATATTAATATAAAAGAAACTGTCTACAACTTTGAAAATTGAGGTTGTTTAAAAATTTATAAGCTTTGTGATCCTCAGCCACTTTCCACTATTATCACATCTGTAATTCAAAATAAAGGAGTTGTAACTTATTATAGACCAAAACTATGGGGTATTTTTTTAACTTTGTATCAAAGGTAATCATCTCCTAATGATGTAAAATAAATTGTAAGTAATAGACATAAGGGTCTAAATTTTATTCTGGAAGCTGTGCTGAGGCTGAGTTTGAATGAGTAACCTTGGTCTCTTTAAAGAATTCTCTTACTTCACAGAAAACAAAACATGGGGGTAAAAAAAGTCAGAAAAAAGCATCTTACAAAATGATATGCAGTGGAAGCCTAGTGACCTTTTTGTATTTTGATGACTCCCAGTTTCTTTGTAATGCCATAAAATAGAGAAAAATTAGTTTATTCTTTTGAAATCATTACCAAATTCACTGGTCATTAGGCAACAGAGAGATCTCTTGGTCAGGAGCACTGAAATGCTTCATTCTCTGCATCTGACAAGTTACTCCAGCACCACAATTTCTGAAGTAGGTGCTAGGCTGGCACTGAGCAGGTGATTGCTTTTTCCTCTCATGACCAATACTTCAGAGAAAATTTTCAGCACTGATAAAATAAGTGCATTTCCAGTCTGAATTTCTCAGAATCTTCTCCTGACATCAAAGTAATCCTGTTTAATGTTAAGGGGTTTTGTGAAGATTACAGTTTCACTTCTCATTAAATTTCCAAGTATCATGCACTTAAATTCTGTTTCAGATAACAGAATCAGAATCCTCACTGTAACAAGGCAAGTATCTGATATTATAAAAATCACTGTTTTCCAAAGCATTTCCTGACAAGTTAACTGAAACAAGCACTTTCTCATGAAAGGTTTCTGTTTTGCTAAATTACCACCTTCAACAATAAAAATGTCTCTCAATATGAGAAGTCTTGTATTTTTTTAATGAAACCCATCTTTCCAGTTTCTGCTAATACATCTCTACAAGAAGCAAACTCTTTTCCAAATGGCAATTTTCCCACATTTCAAGACTTGCATCTGAAATGATGACATGTACCAAAGCACCCTGTACTGCAGTGTCTGGATGTGCAGGGTTTTGGGACATTCCTACCTTGTAAAACCCACCATGTAAATGAGTGAAATGTAAAAATGGACTGGTCCTCCAGTTTTAAGTGTTTAACACATCTGTACAACCAAAAGAGAACAAAAATGTAACAGTTTAGAGGTAAATTGCACATGTTGGTGACTCATTTTCTAAATCCACACCATGTGTCTTGTGATCTGCTCTTTATTTTCTTTATCCCTTTCAGAGAACTCTCTTCCTTAATTTCTTTTGCAGAAAATTAAATATGTCTTGTTAGAGCAGAATGCCTCACAGGAGCATCTAAAAAGTGCTGCCTCTTTGCCCATGACTAATAAGCAGTAAAACCCTCCATCCTGCCATCACACTAACAAAAAATTGTCACCAATGTCAGACATGCTTTGGTCAAACCTCCTGAAAAAAAGAGGAGGGAAAGGTAACTTCTCAAGCTGTTAAAAATATCAACATTTCCCAGCTTCACCTTCATTCACCTCCCACACACTCACCAATCCCTCAAAACACTGCACTGGAAAGTCCTGAAATGCAGCCACAACAGCCAGACACACTCAGAATCACAGACTGGTTTGGTTGGGAGGGACCTTAAAGCCCATCCAGTGCCACCCCTGCCATGGGCAGGGACATT